GCCGTATGCTCTAAACCTTCTGTGATGCTTAGTAGGGTTGAGGTAAAGGAATCCTCGAGTGGCTGGAATTATTCAGTTTCTTTTCATAGTGAAGAGGAAACCCTGAAGTATAACTTTACCCCATTGTTATCTGCATGTCTGGACATATCTATGATTATACTAGACTTTAAATCCGGAACTATCCCTTCATGTACCTCCATCATTCTTATTTTCTGGATAAAACAGTTCTACAGCAGTGATGTAGTTTGAAGTCGAGGATGTCAGTGAAAGCTGTGTTCGTTATAAAATATTGCAGCCTTAGAATTATAAAAAGGATAAACTGTCGACGTTGATCAATCTTCTGGGGAATGCACCATGCATTCAACTACATTAAGCAACGTTGGAAGTGATTGAATACATATCTGGCCTTTATAATGGCTCACGGTGACACACTGATGTATCAAGCCAGTGCTGCTATCCTCCCAGACAAGTCTGGTACCAAGTTGCCAACACCGGAGGGATGGAAGCCTTGATGGGCCAAGGGCGCAGGGATCGATCCATGTGTACTGCAGGGCGCCTCCGACAACTGCGCTACATGCGCCCCTACTATATTGAAAATCCAGGATGGAACAATACTTTCTGAACATAAAATTCTAGTTTTATATTGGTTTTATGTTTTGCTTTATTATCGAGTTCATGTTATTTTAAGTTGTCTTGGTCATAGAAGATCGTTGTTGTTGCTTGTTTTTCGCCTTGTAGACCACGGAGTTTTACCGTTTGCAGCTTTGCTCATCATATGCCTATGAAATGTTCCTATGTTGCCAGTGTCCCGAGTTTCTTTAATGAATGCTTTGAGCTTTTCAGATTTTGAGACGTCTGGAATGGAAACGACGGATTTTCGTTGGTAGCCAATGGAAGAGCCATGTCAGAAAGTAGGTAGTTTGAATTTAAAGTGCTTTTCTTTGGGTCCATTTTCTGCATTTTAGTTTTGCAAATTCTCGGTTTACTTTTTTCTTTTGGAAAAAAGCTGAGGAAATGTGGTACCCAAACAAGATACCGGTGCTACACACAAAGCGGCCTATTCTTTGTCAGTATTCAGTAACCTATTTCTTTTCGGAAATGTTTTCTGGTTGCTCTTAGTTTCAATAATTTGGGTTATTAAACACAGTGGTATTTTTTGGTTTTGCAAATTTCATTTTGGAGACTCGAGTTATGAAGCTCTGCAATGTTTAGAGCTGTGAGAACACTTTCTTTGAACAGTGTATCGTCTGCCGCCCCATTGATGATGTTTTATTGACGAATCCCTTGTGTTTCCTTTTACTTTGTGAGTAGAGTCGTTCAAAAAATAGTTTTAAGCCTTACTGTATAACAAATTCAGCTCGTCTTGTAGGGTGATGTGAAATAGTTGTCCTACACGTCAGTTTACTATGGTCTAAAATCTCTCATCATAAAAAATAATCTGTGACAGTAAACTTGATATTCCAATCAGTACATTGGTTTGTTTGTGTGGAGAAGGGCGATTTAGTACTTTCTAGCTGTTGAAGTCACTCATGAGTTCTCTATTCAGCCCGTTGAGCCGGAATGTCGCCAGTGAAGTCGTGGAAATGAGGCAGGTTCGCACTCCTGTAGTACACTTCAGGTAGGAAATTCGGCAATCAAGCAGAATTGAACAAAGGAGCTGCGCGAACTTAGCTCAGCGTATATAACAACTTGGAGTTGGATTTTTATTGTCCTTAACCCGGTATATTGCAAATAAGTGAAAGCAGCAGAATACTCTAAGGTAATGTACGGCTTGGTTCTAAATGAATCAGCAAAAAAAAGGAAATGAGCAGGGTCCTCCAATCTTATTCGTCAGTGAATAACCTGTGATTTGTTACTGATTGAAATTTTTTAGCAGGAAGCAAAAAGTAGTTTGAAATCACCACAGATTCACTGAAATCAGTTTTTCACTTAAATGAAGCGGCATCATTTTCAATACTGACTTGATTTCGTTTAAGTAGCATAACTTAGTATAGAACAGGTTGTGCTAAAAGCCTGACTAAAATGGATATAAGCACTTTGAATGGACACAGATCAACGCGCAACAAGTCTTTTTTGTAAATTGGTGGTCTCGCTCGAGGAAATACATTCATGCTTCATCTAGGCGTAATCTTTCGTTTTGTAACGGTCGTTTACAGTTCACCTCCTTCTCATTGCCTATCCACAATTCGGCACTGGATAGTCCTTGAATTGCAACCTGTTGATCGTCTGACTTTCCTAGTCGTCACGAAAGAGGAGGAGAATTGGACACTGACTTGGACAGGCAACATTGTGTACCTTTGCATAGATAAAGTATTGGAGGTTTATCTTCTTCTTGAATGCTATCTTTTTTTGATTCGTATATCTGCGATAGGGTACCAATATGTAAGAAGTTATCAGGTTGAGTGTTCAGTGTTCGTCACGTTAACAGCCATTTTCTTTTGTAAATGAAAATATGTGTTGTCAACGTCCGTTTTTTTTTGTCTGTCTTCTTTTTACTTGCATGTGCGTGACGTTCACTCTTCCCAGGTGAGCGATAGTATACACTCGGTAGATAAAAGTGTGGGTAAATCATGGTTTTATTTTTTCTTAGGAATCTCCTAATGTTCAGAACCCTGTGGTCGTCGAACTAACTGTGAAGGTTTTTGCGCAGCTTAGTTTCTTTTCTATAACAATCACCCTACAATATTTCGTCAAAATTTCATATTTCAATACATCGGAAACCGTTAGAAAACGTGTTGTCTTATCGCACAACCTAGGTTAGTTTGGAATACAACTGCTGTGATTTTGTGGCTGGTAATCATCTTTCTGGAACTATGATGTACTAGTGGAATACTTGTAACTGTAAGAAGTTAATCGATATAGGGTAAAGTATTGTCATTCAATTTCTAAAGATTTGTGCAGCGATGATTGCGTCTGCTTTAATCAAGTCCTGCACGCCACATTCCTTAGCATTTCAGTGGCTTCGTATGTTTGTTTATTAGAGATCAGAAGGGAAGAAGATACTGGATCAAAGCTGTACAAAAAAAGAGGTGATCCTGTATCCCCTTACGGCTTTATTGTAAAATTTCTTGCTGTTCAGCTGTTTCTGTGAGCTTTCTGGGATTTTTCCTTTTTTCGGTAAGGATATAAGCGATCTTCTACATGAGATCTTTCTTTGTGGCAATGTGCAACTCCGAAAGTTCTTCAGAGGAGGTATACGATAACACAATGGTGAATAGCAAACCACCTGGGACAACTTGGTCACAGTCTGCATTAATTCGAAGATAGGTGGACCTAGGTCTGAGTCTTGTACGCGTTTGTACAAACAGAGGTTTTCGGAAGCCGAATTATTGGACATTGGATTAGTACCTATATCATCTCTTTACAATTGTAGTAAGCTAAGGTCTTGTGTAGGTAAATATTGCAACATTTTATGTTGTAATGTTATTGAAGACTATTGGACTATCAGTCGTATGGTGTATACTGGTATTTGATATGCAAGACGTCGCTGTTCTTGTCTTTCCTCATTCTTATCAGTCTACCCTTGTAACCTTTTACTACCCTTTTACCCTTTACCCTAGCCTAGCCTTTTAAAATGAATTGTGCAAGAGCGGACTTAAAGCCAAACCAATGGTTCCGTGTTGGTTTCTTATTGTGTAAAACGTTATTTACTTTGCATGGCCTTGTCATTGTTTTTGTCGTTCCTCATTCTTATCAGTCTTAAGAAAACGATGCAGTACTGACAACTCATCTCCTTGGGCGCTTCCAATCTTTCCAAGTCCTTACTGGATTGTTTTTCGATGAGCAAGGACACACAGTGTTTCGTCCTATTACGATCTTTGTTGGCTTTCTCACTTTAATATTTCTTTAACGATTAAATTATGTTTCATTGATCGGTTAATTGATTAATTCATTAGTTGTGTATTTAGTTGGTTTGGATGCGTAGTTGATATTGTTCAAATTCATGATTAACAAATAATAATTCAACTTTTCCTTCACCTTATTACCTTTGTTGTTTGGCACAGTTGCTATGAAATTTTTGATCTTTGTAAAGCTCAAAGTTTTAAAGTTGCAAAAAACCTAGTTTCATACTGCTGAGTACAGTTTGCCTTAAAATGTCCACTCGTTTGTATTCCCCAAGGGTTTCTAGGGTGGTTGTCGTACAGTCAGCTACTTTTGGCCTCGTACATTCAATATCATGAGGGGTCAAAATAAAAAAAGGATGAAGCTCTCGGCGTTGATCAATCCGTGAAGGATGCGCCATCCATTGACTTCATTAAGGATCGTTGGAGGTAATTAAATGCATATCTGGCCCTTACAATGACTCGCGGTGGCCTACCGATGTATCGAGCCAGTGCTGCTATCCTTCCAGACAAGTCTGGTACCAATTTGCCGACACCAGAGGGATCGAGAGCTTAGTGGGCCGTGGGCGCGGAGATCGATTTAACGTGTCGCAGTCGCGCCTCCAACCACTACGCCACAAGCGCCCTATCATAGAGAGTATAGTTTCAAATCTCGCTTTACTTTATTTGTATTATCATCAGCCATTGAATCAATTGGTGGAGGTACCTGTTAAGTTCTTATTGATGTTGTTGTTTGTTAGGGCTGTGCATTGGTTTCCATTAGGTGGAGGTCGTACGTTTAATACGAAAGTCTCAAGTTTTCGTGTTCTCAGCGAAATATTCTCCATTGCTGGCTTACCGACCGTGAGGTTAATACTTAAATTCGATCTTTCCTAGACTAAGGATTACTTATTAGGTGTTGCTCTTAGCCATCTCTTACCTGTTTCCAAATTCATAAAGGGTAAGGATTCATTAATTTAACGTGAAGGATACGAGCCGATTCGCTAGCAAAATCGTCTATCATTGTGATTGTTTGTTTCTTTTTGTGCAAAATTATTTCTGTTGAACTGATTTGAATCAAATATAGCACTAATTTCGGGATATTTCGCTCAGGTACTTGGGGGCTAAAAGGTGGTTGGTAAGATTGAAATCTTTTACTGTTTTCCGATCATTTCCAGAGTTGAAAGTGTGGAGGGCATGCCGATTAACGCGTATTTTATGGGCACTCTACAGGATCCTAGGGACGAATGTCGAATGGTTCCGAATCGAGATGCCACAAACGTGGATTTAACCAGTATTGGTGTGGAGGTGTCCAGTGTGAGTTCAACTAGCAGTTAAATTGTGAAAGATCGCAAGGAGTTCAGACTAAGGTGACGAAAAACCATCATACCATCGTGATATCTACCAATACATTTGCTCAGGTAAGATATGCGTGGTAAGTTCTGCTTTGGAGAGGAAAGCATTCACAGCAAGTTAACAATCCACTTGTATGGGCAGAACAATTTACATGACTTACTTGTTTTTTTGACCATCATTTCACCAGTCAGTTCATGGGACTTTTCTGTTAAAAATGTTTAGTTCCAGTTCCATATCTCTCGATTGAAGGCAAACTAACTAACTTACTTGGGTGGCCCTTCCTCACTGATTGTCCAGTATAGTTTTCATTTTTTTTCGGAGCTTTGGTAGTTTAGCCATTGTGGTTCCTTGGAGTCCTGAAGTCAGCCTGGCCAAAACGTGCCCCAGGTCTTCACCACCACAGGCAGTCGCAGCCCTTGTGGTTCAGAGGGAGATTTGCCACCATGCGACTAGTTTGATACCAGGACGGTAGAGGATCCTGGTATTGGTTTACTCTTAGATGAACTCCCTAGTGGAAGCGTCGGACTCCTTCTCAGCTCGGGAGGCTCTGCTGGGAGACGGATCCCCCACTGTACATCGCGGTCCAACATCCAGGACACATCCCAGCCACAATGAGGCGCTAAACCGCTGGGAGGGATGACAAACTAAGGAGCATTTAATTAGTTTTTAGGTCTTATCGCGGTATTTTTCACAGTTTATATACATATTTGACACTTTGAGTAAATCATAACCATGAGATTTGAGGAGAATGGCTAAGTCGTAGCCGTCGAAGTTATAGGTATTGTGCACGAATTGTTACGCGTCTGATTTGTTATGCTTCGTATATCTACCTTTTTTGTAGGTGGATATGACCTCTAAGTGGGAAGAGCACTTGGAGAACTTGATTGCTGCTTACGATATGAACCATCATGACGAGATACAAATTAACAGAGCCTCCATGCCTGATTTTGACGAAAAGGTTCATTTCTGTTGGTCATTAGCGCATACTTTTTTCTTAAATGTAGCAATGGAATGTTGGACTTGATGACGGAAGTCACAGTTTAGTTGAAGATTTTCTTCGAAGAGCATTTGCATCGTGACCCAGAAGTTCGTTTTGTAAAGTCCGGCACCGGCTTCTTTGATGTTCGCAGTATTGAGGTTGGATTCCTTGTAACCGTTACAATGTTATATTCTATTCTTTAATACAGTTCTCGTTCAGGATGAATGGATTCGTATCCCTGTAAAAAGTGGTGATTTCTTATTCCTTCCGGCCGGGATCTACCATCGTTTCACCACAGATTGGAATGTGGGTACAAATTAGTTTTGTTGTTTTGTTTTACACCTTCGCACCGATCGAAGGATTTTTTTTTAAAAGTTGTGATATCCTGGTATTGGATTTCTTCCTGTTTCTTTTTCCTTTCTTCAAAGTGAAACTTGTTATGCTGTGCATCCCACAAAAATTGTGCTTCCAGAAAGTCCTTTTCTAGCGTGGAGATGGAGTCCTGAACACTTCATGCTCTCAACACCAATTCTCACGACCCCCTACTGGTCTTTCAAACGTGGTATTGAGTTAAATTTTCTTGCGCATTCAACCAATCACAACTTGCATTTCACACATGTTCACACACAATTTCGAATCTTCGTTATTCGAAGCGTTTGGAATTAAGGGTTTTTTTTATACCTCTTCAATGGCATAACTAGTTGAAGATAAGCGCATTCTTGCTTGATACTTCACAATTGGATGGCGCGTCTTCACTTGTGCGGGCCCCAGAATAATCTCCATTCCCTGGAGATTTGCTGGTCTAGCCTTTGTGCTTCCCTGGAGTCCCGAGGATAGCCAGGCCGTCTGTCCCAGGTCGTCACCACCACAGGCAGTTGCGGCCAGTGTGGATCACATTTGCCACCATGCGACTAGTTTGATACCAGGATGGTGGTGGATCTTGATATTGGTTTACTCTTAAGTGGGCTTCCTCATGAAAGCACCGAACTCCTTCTCAGTCAGTTTGGGAGACCCTGCCGGGTGATGGATTCCTTCCTGTGCATCGCAACCTGACACCCAAGAACACCTTCCAGCCGCGGTGAGGCTGTAAACCGTTGAGAGGAGGATAATATAACATTGGATAAGGACATTTTGTTTGTTTGAATCAAACCGTGGTAAAATTGGATCGAGAATTTCTACAGTTTTCTCTCTGGGAGCTTCATGTGCACAGGAGGGTGGTTTGCTTAACCTGATCGAAGAGAATCCTTGCAGATGAAGACATTTCTAGTGACAAACATATGAACCAGCGGCTAATTTCTCGTAGATTTTCAATTGCAGTATTTTCAGCTTTGTGTCCACAACTTTTGAAGTTATGCTATTGTTATTATTTCGGACCTAATAAAATTGAATCCGAAAATAGATCAGGAATTCCATTCATGGCTCAACGGGGCCAGTTTGTTTACTTTGTTCTTGATGAGCAGACCGACGATTTCTTTCCTACCCTCATTACTTTTTGGTTCTCACGAATTGTTTTCCTCTTATCCCTAACTGAAGGTCCCTTCTGCTATCTATCCTCACATATCAGCAGCAATTTATAGAAACCTATTGTTTCTGTCGCTCCAAGTACAAGCTGTTGATCCTCTTTAAATTAATTGTTATTGGAAATTTAAACATGGTGAGGAACCACATTATTTGATTACTCCCCGTTAAACTTGTCGTCATCATCGTAGTTCTCATCCTTCAATTCTGTTATCTCAGACTCTTATACTATAAGCACAAGAGTTTTCCCATTTACTCAGCTTCTTCAATGTCTCCTTAATAAGTCTGTCGAAATTTTCTGCCAGTAATTGCTTACTACTTCATAGAAAGAAATACGCGTACAGATAACAGAACATTGCTAACAAAACGCTACTTGCACTGTTTATTCTTTTTGAGTCATCTTTCATGTTATCCGTCGCTTTCTTAACGTATTTTTGCGTTAAGTCGATATTGTTGATTTCACTAGTGCTCTGAATGTCCTGAGAAAGGCATGCTTTTTAAGTGGTGAAATTTTTCAACTTCTTGAACCCGTTAAAGTTGACGAACACGGGTGTTTTTTTGTAAATTTTTAGGCTTAGATAATAGCTTTTATGATGAACGAGTTATCGATTGAATACAATAAGTGCAGTAAGAAGGACCTGTGCTGCGAAACCATTGAGATGAAAATGCAATGGGAGCGATACACTTTGATCCCTCATGCATGCATCGCAGTCAGTGCATCTCGAGCGTTGCGTACTGTTTAAAGGAATTGATAAGTTCTAAGCTTGACGAGTTGCTGGCTGCTATCTCTATCAAAGCAGACATAGAGCGGTGAATATCAAGACCAGGTTGTTCCTTCTAAGCTTTAACCTAATGAGGTTAGGATACAAAACCAGTGGCTGATAAGTACTGACACTTGTAGTAATAACAGAACCTTAGTTTGTTCAACCACTCTTTTGTTTTTATTTCATCGTCTAGGATGTGTACTTCTTTAGTCACTATGAAATCTTTGGGAACATTTTCCAAAACTTTTGAAAATTACTAAATAGTTTCTCAAAGCCTTAGTGGTTCTTTTAAGGAGAATGTTGTGGCGGTGCGATTGTTTCGATCGAGTCCTAATTGGAAATCGTATGCTCGCTGTAAAGAAAGTGATGCCATGGAGGAGAGAAGTGACTACCTGAAAAGTATCGGAGTCGGAAATCGCCTGTAGGTTTCTAGACACATTTTCCTGTTGCACTTTTGTCGCTGAATGTTGTCATTGTCACTAAGATTCAAATGTGCCAAGAATAAATGATTCTATGTATTTCAAATATTTTTTACATTATAATCCGCCATTATATAATCGGTTGTCTCATGAGTGGCATAAAGTTTCCTGTTAAAACGTTTGCGAAACGTGACTTCTATAGGTCCCATATAATTTCCTGCGATTTCTTTTGGTACACAGAGGTTGTTTCTAGACTCCTTGTAATCAATCGGTAGCTTATCCAGTGCAGATGACGTGGCTAGCGTGTCATCCATGGGAAGGCATCCTAGTAGTCATATCTCACTTAATGAACCATTACTGTTGAAGAGAGTGTGCAGTGTATAGAGTGCGACCAGTGAAGAGACGCAAAGACGTTTCTACCTATGGGTCACGGATCTGACAACTGCAGAGCATTCCGCTAGGATAAGGAGATAAATTATTGAGAATACTTCTCTACAGTGACTAGATATGCGCAGAGTATGTATTCATCAGAGTGCTTCAACAGAGTTTGTTTTTATAAAGAGCTATGAAGTCTTTTTTGTACAACCACAGCTAATATGTTGGAAATTGTTCTCAAAAATATTTATTGTACAACCTACAGTTTATAATTTACATATGTAAATTATCCAATTTCAATACCTAACCTGCAAATTTCACTCTTTGTATATAAGCTTGAGTACTTACAATAGGTGTTTCCTTTTATCTTAATTATAATTACCTTAAGAGAGAGCGGATAGCACAGTGGTAGTGATATTCTCCATAACGAGCATGGTGCTAGTTCGATTCCGCTCCGGACCAACCAAGCCTTTCATCTCTCCGGAGTCGGGAAGTTGGTAACGCATTTGTCTGGGAAAAAAATCACTCTCTGCAATTTAGTTGAGAAGGCTCCATCTTTGCTATCTCAGGACTCCAGGGAGAATTCCCGTACCAGCATTCTACGACATTCAAGATGAAATGAAAATTTTCAAGCACTAACCGAAGCCACACGTAAAGTTGGAAGGTATTCGTAGATGATAGATGCGAGGAAACGTGAGAAGTGCTGTGAACCACATAGTAGACGTGAAGATGAGTCAAATAAAATAAAAATAATAGCCTTAAGGCAAACCAGTGCTACATGTATACCACATAAATTATATGTAAAGTTCTGTAATTAAGATGTAGACCCACACAGATGAACGCCTAGGTCGTTCACAAGTAGCAACAACTACACCACGATTTCGTAATTGTTGATTGCGGGAAGAACATCAAACGAATACGAAACGGCAAATGTTACGAGAAGAGATTTCCAGAACCACGGTTGTTGAACATAGGTGTAAGTTACCGATATGTTGCTTTTTGATTGTCCAACAGGATTTTCTTAAGCAATGCAAAATTTTCTTGATGAGCAAACACGGGGTTGCTGACAAGATTTTTTCAGCACAATAATGGCTGATGTTATCTCCTTTTTCAGAGCCTGGAAAGGTCGAATGGGCAGGAAATCTGCTCAGCCTAACTCTTTCATAATCAAAGCAGGAAAGGTTGAAGCTACATTTTTATTTGCTCAGTAGAAAACTTCCCTTGAACCCTCACCTCATCTTCGGCTTCTGTTTCGACTGACTTCTCATCGTGAAAGGAACTTAACAAATTAATAACGTGGAAGATAACTTGGACCGTTCACTCTTTCTATCGAAAAGTCTGACGGGAATCAAACAAGGGGTATGGAAGTGTTCATGGAATAGTCGTGAGTAGTGCAAAATGTTATGCCTTAAACCTCTTAATCTTCAACCACAGTCGATTTGGCGCCCCATGAATACTGCTTCGATGTGAAGAACTTAGAGGTTTTCATGAATGTTTCACGGAAACATGATATATAAAAGTGGTTACTTTGCCATTAGCTGGCACATGAATTTTATTTTGGCTGAGCACTTCTAGGATTCATAACGAAAGGAATAGGCGCAGGTCTATGGTAGTGGCAGAGTTCCCCCGGCACGTTACGTCAACAGTTAGTTGGGAATCGCCTATACGGCAGTCTATGTAAAGTGGAAAGCGCGTGATTTGCTTTACCAACAGAGATGGCAATTCCACGAGTTCAGGTAGAATATACAAGCTGTCGTGGATGATGTGCACATGGGTGAAATAGGAACGACACAAGAATCAAAAACATTAGCAGGCGAAACCCTTGAAGCATATTGCGGAAGTTTCAGAAATCCAAAAATGAATAGAAGAGAAGTGTGTTTAACTATCATACGTGGCTTAGCCTCTTATCTCAGGATAGTTCCCTTGTTTCTGATTGAGGTTCATTCGGTTCATTCGTGACCGTAAATTCAGTAAACGCAGTCGCTCTCAGGCCTCAGCAAGAACGGTATGCTTTCTACGAGATAAATATTCGATTTTAAATCGCTTTTTTATTAATATTGTGCATAACACGTATAAGGTCTCATGAAATAGTGTGTAAGGTCTAAATTAAATGTGGTTACAAATGTATTTTCCCAATTCTGGCCAGTGGAGAACGATTTTTCTCATTTATACAACTAGTCTTTATGCACTGTGTAGATTCCGGCAGCTCTTTGTGTTTTGAATCGAATTGTAATTGATTATTTCGTCTTCTTCATGACGCTGATAGATTCACTCACCTTTGAATGCTGGAACAGCCCTATAACAATGTGGCCAGATCTTCAGCACAAATAGAAGATCTGTCCATTGTGAATAACAAAGGTGTTCTCCTGGACAAGTATGTTACCAGTTTCCTGACCATAGGGGTGCGAGAAGCTTGGCAAGCTCTGGTGTGATCGAATCCGCGGACTATACAGTGGGTATATTGTTGCTATCCATCTCGAATTAAGCGGATTCTGGACACTTTGCCACAGAGGAATATGAGGGACAAATGGACATAACAGACAAAATGCAGGCGATTTCTGTACTTTGAATGGAAATAGTAAAAAAAAGTAACAGGAATTAAGTACAGGTGAGGCGATTGTTGTGCCAGTTTTGCAAAGGTGAGGGTATTTCAAACGCTGGAAATTTCAGTTCGTCAACTGTAACAGTTTTAGTATCTGATCATACAATAGCCAGTATTTATGGATGGTGTCATGTTCCGTCGAATGCTTTCTCTGGTAACTAATTAAATTAGGGGTTAAATATGATTCGGAATAAACGAGGGAATGTTTTTCCCTATATGTTATCGACGATCGATCAGCACAGATCAAAGCCCTAAAGGGTGCGTTTATGAGCAGAAGGACGTCGCTTGTCGTCACGAATCGCCCGTGCTCACCTCAAGGATGTCTTGTGTCTGATGGACCGCCATTCTATGATTATTTCACGAGTCGTATGTGTTTATTTCTAATATTCCAAAGGATTCATTGTTATTCTATAGTGTTTTCAAGTGAACACTCACTTGTTGACTGTATCAAAGTGTATCTGCAAGGGAGGAATCATGGTCACCACCGATTTTGCTCGAGATTTCGGCACAAACAGCTGGTCAGAGAACAGTAGTTGACGACTGTTAACATTTGACGTTCCATTCAATATTTGTCACCACGCCGATTAAATATTATATAAGAATATGAATACAAATATCGATTGCACTTTATTGTTCTGCATTTCATTATTTTAAACTATAAAGATCCCGAATTCTCACTTAGCGTTTCGTTTTGAACTCTATTTTCTATGTTTTCACAATCTTTACTTCTTTATGCTGTTCTACGTGGTATGAAGGGTTCGGCATTGATCGATCCGTGGGAGATACACCATGTCTTCATCTTCACAAAGAGGGTGATCTAATGCACTTGGCCTACACAACGACTTGCGGGTGCCTACCCGTGTATCGAGTTAGTGTTGCTGTTCTCCCAAAGAAGTCTGGTACCAATCTGCCTTTGTTTGAAGGATGAATGGCCTGCTGAGCGCGGGACGCAGGATCAAAACATATTGCACAGGATCTCTAACTACTGCTCTACACGCGCCCTTTGAATAACTTCCATGTGACGCTCTGAAGACGGAACGACAAGGCTTTACACTGTAGAACAGCGCCAAGTGGCATTGGTTTTTGGTTTTTTAAACAATAATATATTTACCGGAATTGAAAGTCTGCTTCTGTTTCTCCATTCTGCTAATCTGCTTTTGTATGTCACAGGTGAAGAAGACTGCTGATTTTCATGTTACAGGTATGGATTATCGTTGCATTCTCAGAGAAATTGACGAGGTTTTGAAATCATTGTATAAATGCATTGATGGAGTTTTCGACTCAATTAGCTTAATGCTTAGACAACTTGAGGATTACATGGATCAGGTATAACTCGGTAAAAGTATTTATTAATTTAGACGAGATCTGACGAAGAGTGCTTCTGAGCATGGTGTTAGGTTGAAACACGTCAAGTAGCACCAGACTTCGCTCAAAGAACTGACAACAAACCTTTTCAAACGCGTTCGAACGTTGATTTTGAAATGAACTTAGCTCGTTAAGAAATGCCTGGCTCTTAGTGAAGGTTTGGGTGCGCTGCTAAAAAAAGACCTATCATTTTCGTCGAAACATATCCCGATATCCACATCGACAAAGGTTTGTCGTCCAATGTTAAATGCTCTTTGATCTCAAATAACTTATAATTTTTCAAGCTCATTTTATCAATGGTTACTTTTTATGTAGATTAAAGAGCGCAAAGATTCAGATCGACGAGCTATCCTTTAACGTTCTCAGGACTGCTGGAATCCTTTCAGAGGTTCTAGAAGTGGTTAGTTAATGAGAAACGTTTTAGGTAACTCTGTATTTATCCTCCTTCTAGGTTATTGCTTCAGATTGAGATGCTAGAAAGCGCCCTCTTTTATATAAATATTACAATCAACTCGAAGAACGTGTAAGTTTTTTCTTATACATCAATTAAAAGTACTCTATTTATTGACGACTTTTCTTCCCTTTCTCAGGACCCGTCGAACGTAACGAGGTGGGAAAGCCTCTCCTAGTTCTTTTTAGAAGAAACCTCAATCTTCGTTGTAGG